CATAATATTTAAATAGTTATTAAAAAAATTATATTAAAAAAACCAATTTCAAAAATTTATGACTCACACTGTATATAATTTTAGGACAAATAAATGTTTTTTTTGGGCAACACTATTAATTAATTCTTTTATAACTTATAGAATCACATGACACTTTACTTTCATAGCAAGAATACTCATGTGCCTGCCAACTCATGCTGATTTCTAATCTAAAGTTGTTAAGCATAGAATTTTATAACATAGTACCCTTTAGCATGATCTTTACATACTTCAGATTCAAAAGAAATCGGCTTATCACAAACTTTGCAAAGAATGTGTTTTTTAAATCTCCAATATTTATGACATCCTTTAGAATGTTGATATTTATATTCACAAACTTTTCCAGAGTTGTGTAAATATTCATATGTATATTTACCCTATATTGCAATAAATTTATATAACTGAATTAATTATTTTAATTTAAACAAAAGATCTGATTATATTAATAAAAAACACCAAATACAAATATATATTACAATGGTAGGTAAATGTTCAGGTTGTAGATTCACTTCAAGAACAGATAAAACTTGTAATCTGAATAAACACATGAATTTATCTGGAAATTTTTGTAAGAGACAATGTTTACTGGCTTTGTGTTTAATGCAAAATGCAAAAAATGATATTTCAAAGCAAAATTCAGTACCAGCTTTAAAGGGTGATCTTATATTATTCGATGAAAACCCAGTGTCACAGCATCCATCCCTGTTGAAAAAGCAAAGTGTGCCAGCTATTGACCTTTTAACTGTTGATATTTCAATTATACAAGCTAAACCAAGTTTTAATACTCATATAGACCAAAAAAAGAATTTATTTTTAATAATAATGAATTAATAAAATAGATATCTAAATTGAAAATAATAAATAATAAAAAAATTAAATTGAAACCAATTCCTAAAACTGATGAAGAATAGTATGATTTAATAGAAATGAATAATGAAAAAGATAGTGAACCAAGTGATGATGTGAAATATCTAAACTATACTTTTTCAAAATATGATACTAATGAAGAAGAATTGGATATTTATTTTGAAAAAATTAAAGATCCATACATTAATAGAAAATCAGAAGCAAAAAATTTTAACAAAGGTGAGATTTGTAATTACTATGCATTTGTTCCCAAATAATATTATGCAGAAAATAAACCATTAGGTTTTTTTGAATTAATCAAAGAAAAGATTGGTGATATATACAAAAGAGAATTAACTCTAAAAGACGAATTAAAGATAAGAATCGTATTAATAGCATATATGAAGAAGATTACATCAGAATCTCAAAAACCTATATATAAAATCTTTCCTTTCAAATATGAAACAATAGAAATTATTAGAGAAGATCAAATTAACACAATTATAGAAAAAGAATATAATGAAATTATAGATCAGATTGAGAATGAAGCAATACAAGAATCTGGATAAATATTTGTCTGAGCAGAAGAGGTATTTCTTGAAATAAGCACATTCAGACTATTGCAAGGTAGTAGTTGATTACCTTTACTAGAAGATTTAGATAAGTCTCAGCTTGGTTTAATTAATCCACAAAATTTCAAAGACAATGAATATTTTAGAGATTGTATTAATATACTGTATACTATATAAGAGAAGATATACTAAAAGCAAGACAAAAACCTATACATCTTAAACGTATAAGCAAGATTAGATAATATGGTAATATAGTCAATTTTGAAGGTATAAAATTTCTAGAAATGCTTTATGATATAGATAAATTCAAAGAAAACAACACTAATTATGCTATAAATATATTTAGGCTGGTGTATAAAAAAGTGTTCAGAAAAATAAAAGTAGATATAGATCCATTACATATATTTGAAAGAAATTATCAAGTCGAACATATGATAGATTTATTATATTTAACAGAAGGTGAAGAGAATTTAAATGATTGAAAAAATACAAATAATATATTAGAAGGATTAAAAACATATTATGTATTTATAACAGATTTCATTTGATTAATGTATAAGTGGAATAATCATCATAGTAAAAAATATTTTTGTTAAAAATACTTGTGATTTTTATATAGTAGATTAGATCTATTACAAGAACATATTCTTACATGTCCAGGTCCAAGTAAAACTTCACAACATTTAATTCTTTCAGAAGAAGGTAATAATTATGTGAAATTCAAATATATCAAGAATATGTTAATGAAATCCTATCTAATTATTATAAATTTAGAAGCAAAAGAAATTGATGCAGAAAAAAAAGATAAAAAAAGAAATACCATAAAAGAAGCAGAGCAGATAGTAGTTTCATATGAATATATTATTCATTGTTCAGATGGAAAAACTCAAAAACCAGTAATTAATTGAGAATCAAAAAATGTAATAAAGGACTTAATGTATAATCTTCAAAAAGATCTAGATGTTATTTTAGATAAGCTCTGTGATCCTCTTTCATATGAAAAAAATGACACCAAAATTATGGAGGCAGTATTAACCAGCAAACAAATATTGGATATGTGAAGAAAAATTATATGAATCAGGATATAATAAAATTCAAGTATTTGATCCAGAATATAAAAAATATTTGGGTGCTTCGCATAGAAAATATTATGAAAAAAAGAATTGATTTGAGATATACTAGATAATAAACAAAAAAAAACACATGATGCATATAAAAAATATATATATTATAAAACAATATTACCAGATGAAGGAAAAAACAAGATATTAGATCATGATCATATTATAGGAAAATTTTGTAAACCAGCATATAACAGTTGCAATCTTAAATTACAAATTGATCCCAAAATAATAAAAATTTCTGTACTACTTTGTAATGGAAACAGTTATAATTTTTACTATTTTATGCAAGAAATAGCAAAAGTAACAGATGAAAAAATAATACCTATAGCAAATAATTCTGAGCAATATATTACTTTCTTAGTTGATCAGTTTCAATTTATTAATAGTTTAAAATTTTCGCTACCTGGTTTAGCTAAGATGGCAGAAAATTTATGTAATGAAAAGAAGGATCAAACTAAAACACCAGAGCAACTAGCAAAATGTTTTCCAATTATGTCAAAATTAATCTCATTTCATTTATTATCTTTACTTACATGAAAAGAAATATTTTTATATCAGTGGTTAAATAATAAACAAAATTTAATAAGATACAGCTCCCACTATATAAAAATTTTAATAGTGATTTAGATAGATATAATTATTGCAAGCATGAATATAAAAACAAAGAATGTGAACATGAGAAAATTTACACTATATCACAAAAGGATGACGATTTCGTATAAACAGTTTGGCAAGAAACTGGATGCAAGACTTTTGGAGATTATCATGATATCTATCTTAAGACCAATGTATTAATTTTAGCAGATACATTCAAGACATTCCGTAAAATCTTATATTCAGCATTCAAGCTAGACCAAGCAAATTATTTAATTGCATCAGGTCTAGCATAGAATGCATATATGAAGGTAACTAAAGTTAAGTTGAAATTATTTAATAAACACCAAGAAAATATACATAATTTCTTTATAGCAATGAAAAGGGAGGAATATCTTTAACTAGACAACACATAGTCAGAACAAATATTTTAGGATTAGAAGGGTATGATAAAAAAAAAGCAAAAAAATAGCTACTCTACTTAGATGCCAATAATCTATATGATTGGGCAATATCCCAATATTTACCAACTGGAGGATTTAAATAGTTATCAACAAAACCTCTCAAGGCTACTTTCTCATTAATGCAGAAAATTTTATTATTAAAAAAAAATTTAAATTGAAAATGTTGTTTAGAGGTTAAGTTATCGATTCCTAAAGAATTACATCCTAAATTTCGAGATTATTCAATGTGTCCAGAATGAATAAAAGTACCATATGATTAATATAGTTCCAAACAAAAAGAATGGACAGGCAAACAACATTCAGATATAAAAAAACTTATATTAACTTTATATGATAAAGACTATTATATTATTTATTATAGAAATCTATAGCAATGTATAAGAGAGGGATATGTTCTAGAGAAAGTATATAGAGTTTTAGGTTTCGAATAATTTTCTTGGATGGAATCCTATATAACAATGAATACACAATGATAAGCAAAAGCAAAGAATGTATTCGAAAAAGACTTTTGGAAATTAATGAATAATTCAATGTTTAGAAAAACTATAGAAGATGTAAGAAAATGAGTGAATATCGATTTGATTTAACAGTTAGGTGAAGAACAATGATTATATCGATTAATATCTGATCTAACATTTGTTATTTAGAAAATTTTCTATGGGACTGATTTAGTAGCAGTACATCAAAGACAGACTAATGTAAAGTTAAATAAATTTGAATATGTTTGTGCATATATTCTTGATCTATCGAAATATTATATGTATAATTTCTGGTACAGATATCTTAAAAAGAAATATAAAGATCAGGTGAAACTTTTATATATTGATACAGATTCTTTAATCATAGAAATTGAGACAGAAAATATATATCAAGACATAATTGATGATTGTAATTTATTTGATTTTAGTGACTATCCAAAAGACCATTGGGTGGTAAAAAATTTACCTAAAGATAAATAGATAATTAATAAAGAAGGTAAGCATGTATTAAAAAATACTAAAGTTATAGGTAAGTGAAAGAATGAAAATGGAAAAGATAGAGCTATTGGCTATATAGAAGTTTGTGCAAAATTCTATAGTGTTATATGTGAAAATTTACAAAAAAATATGATCAAGGCTAAAGGTCTCAAAAAGGTTCTTATCAAGAAAGAACTTATCCATAAAATATTCAATAACTGTGTTTTAGAAGAAAAAGAGGATCAACCATGAACTGCTCAATTCCCTCGAAGTTACAAACATCATATGTATAGAATAAAGCAATCAAAGAGAAGTATTAATTCATTAGATACAAAATTGTGGATAAATCAAGATGGAATTACAATGCATCTATATGGTAATTGTAAAATTCCAAAAGAATAGACACAGAGTGTTCTGTTCAGTAGAATACTCCACTAAATTGTTCTACTTATTGCAATGTTTATATATTTTTTATTACCATTTGATAATAAATATAACAATTAAAACATTAAGACCAAGTGCGTCTGGTGAGGATCGTCAAGATTAAATTGGAATCCAAGCAAGGACACCAGTTTCACAGGTGGTGAAAATGGTAGTGTGACAATATACTAGTGGCACATCCTGAGGGTCAGTGATAACAGTGACTGGAATACTGGGGTTGGTCTCTATAATAATATTCCATAATAACTTGCTCCCTGCAATAATGAACCAGCAGGTTTAGGAGGGTTTAAACTAGTGGTAGGATTCCCCCTCCTGCGGAAGTTCCACCTGACGTGTGGGCACATCTTCATGATGTTTAAATGAATGCATAAGTTGGGTAATAGTGGTTGGCATAGCTAATCTTATAGCAATATAGGCATTAGGCAGTGTTAATCTACAGATTAATTTGTAGAGACATAAAGGGTATTCATATACCAACTGATTTTCGATTAATTTGTAGAGACACTTGGTGTCTGTCTGAATATATAACGTATCAATAAAGATCACACACCTTGCATATGTTCCACTATAAAAAAAAAAAAAAAAAAAAAATCTGGATTATTATATATATAGTATTATATAAATACAATTTTTTATATAAAATCTAGTAATTTATATATATAATGTATAATATTTTAAATTCCTATAAAAAAAAATATTTTATAATTATTATAGTAAAATTATTATTATTATATTTAATAATTTTTTTTTAAAGTTTATACTATTATAAATAAAAGTTATTTAACAAAATATTAAATTTAAATAATTTTACAAAATAAAATTTATTTTTTAAATAAATAAAAATTTAATAATAAAAAAATTTTTTATATTTAATTTTAATTAATTATTAATAATAGCTATATATAAAATTTTATTATTATTATTAAAGCTTACTTTTATGTATTAAGTAAAATTATTTTTTAAAATAAATACATATACTGTAAAGTTTTTATTAAACTTAAATAAAATATTTAATATTAAATTTTATCATTTTTGTTTAAATAAATATTAAGTATAGTTTTATGGAATTTAATATTTAAATACTTTAATATATGCAGAACAAAATTTATTAATAACAAATTGCTTGTTAAAACAGTAGTTATAAAAATCAAGTGGATGTCAACATTTTGAAAAAAAAAAATCAAAAAATTTACATTCAGAAAAAAATCATTAAATGTAATAATAAAAGTTTATTCAAATTTAATAAAAAATTTACCATATATGGAATTTATCATGAAGAATAAATTTACTTAATACATAAAAATCATTTTTATTAATAAAATAAAAAATTTAATATATGACAACTATTTCCAATTAATTGTTATTCTTTTTAATTATATTGTTTTAATATACATATTTAAAAAAATTTTTCATATAATTCTATTCTTTTTATTTCTTAATAGATCCATTATAAACACATAGGACCCAGGATGATTTTACGAAATATTTACATTCTATGTGACCGGGCAACTAAATCACTAGCACGTCGCAATTTAACTATAACCAAGATTGGCGTGTAGATGACTATCATCAAAGTAATTTTAGCCGTTGAACAAGACGAAATTTAATAGTATATGGACATGATGTAATAAGCGTAGCTCTTAACGCCAAAAAAAAAAGTTTATCTAGGTAAACCGCGTACGTCCATTTATAAATAATGTCTCTAGGATCATTTTTTGCATTCAAATTACTGTTCTTTTTTTGCTCAATGTATAAAATTTATTTTTTCGCATTCGCCTTTTTAATGGTGACAATGCGTTTTGGAGACTTCGCAGAAGGTAATAAATGACTGAATTTGTATGTTGATTCATCTTTCACGAATAAATAAATATAAATCAATATATATTTTTTTAAAAAAAAGCAGCCGAAAAGAAAGAATTCATATACGTAACGGTAACTGAACGAATCATTCAGGTGGTCACTCGATTTGTTCCGGCTGTTTCGTTATTACCGTCAAATCCCATGGTAAATATCCTTTAATTTTTGTTAGGCATTCATATTTTAAGATAACGAGAATCCAAATAAATTGTTATTATCAACAGCATCCAACCCCGACGTTACCACCAAAAACCCCAGAAACTCAACATCCAATTTCCACTAAGATCTACATAGTATCAACATCTGATTCTCTTCCTTTATCACCCGAACCTCCTACTTTATCATCTACACCTCTCCCTTTGTCAACTACTCCCATTACTATTGCTTCGTCATCAGTCGGCCCTGTCAAGACACCAATCAGACCACAACAAAAGCCTAGAGTCCAATCGCATTCAAAATCTATTCCTAAAACTATCACAAGTTCTAAAAGTGTATCCACTCCGACCAGGGTTTTATCAACTACCTCTACGCGCAAAAGTTCCAATTCTAGTGTTGAATCAATTTCATTTTGGTATTTAATTGTTTGTACAGCTATTAGTGCGTTTTTTTATGGCTTGATTTAAATTTCTTTGTAAACAATTTTATCAATCATACTATTATTTTGTGGGTCGCAATAATTATTTTCGTTTTGACGGCCTCATGTATTATAAAATGTAATCGGAGACATAGTCTAAATCTTTTAATTATATCGGTCAGATCTACGATTTTCTTTCTAAATTTAGTATCCAAATCTGACCTATGAACTGTCAAGTCAAACGATTTACACTGATAAAAAAGCATGGCTAGGAAAAAGAAAAAAAATTATCAAAGTAAAAAATTTCACCGTAGAAAACCTAGAAAGAGGGCTGACAATAAAACGCCATTTGATGATATCATCAGAAAGAATGAAGCATTCGAAAATTATTATAAGGTAATATCGAATGTGATGGTTTAATCTATCAGAAAACTTGATCCATTGTGAATTGATAAATTTTGATCTTTGGATCTTTGACGTGTTTATTGTAACTATTGGAACTCGCGATGTCTTAGGTTGATAGATTATTGAATCCTTTGCGTTTTATCTTATTTTTTTTGAAAAGGCTCAAAATATTATATCCGATGAAACGGAATGGAACAAATTTCTAGAGGTAATTAAAATAACTCTTCCTACTTCCTTCCGAATCACTGGTAGTAGAAGGTAAAAACTAGTTCATATAAAAGTGATACGTCAAATTTGTAGCATTTATTTCTTTTGTTAATTTGATATATATTATGTCACTCTATTATACTGTAAAGTCATGCGTTTGAATTACGAGATTTGATGAAAAACGTTTACGTACCTAATCTTGACAAAATCCAATTTGGCGATGACAAAAGATCGGAAGCTCCAAGACCTTTGATTTGGTAAAGAGTGTTTACTTAAAAAATTGCTTTCTTTTATAAAGTAATCTCATTTTGTCAGTTAATGTGATCGTGGAATCTATTGCGTGAATTTATGTACAGGATAAGGTCTCATTAAGTTTTCTATCTCAAATATTAGGTATCCGGATGAGCTAGGATGGCAACATTCCGCACCAAGGATGATTATTAAGAAGGAACCTGAATTTCAAACTTTTCATAGGTGGTTGGTTTCGGAAACTGAAGTGGTTAGTTGTTGGTTAATTTCTCCTTGTTAATACGTCTCATCATTAATTGTTACTCAAATCAAATATCTATTGTAAATAAGGGTAACATTAGCCGTCAGGAAGCTGTCAGCATGATACCGCCTCTACTCCTAGATGTCAAGCCAGATCATTGGGTACTCGACATGTGTGCAGCTCCTGGATCAAAGACTACGCAAATAATTGAGGCAATACACGCGAACGACGCGCAAGACACTGTTATTCCTTGTAATTGATTTTCATCACGACACTTTTGTAAATCTTCATGAAGTGATTCGATTCTTATTATACAATGTATTGTGCAGCTGGCATCGTAATCGCAAATGACGCTGATCCTAGACGAAGTTATACGCTCGTTCATCAGGCAAAAAGATTAAGAAGTCCCTGTTTACTGGTCACGAATCACGACGCAGCACAATTTCCTGGTATTTACGTGAAACAAGTGAGTTTTTTTTTTTTTGTCTATTTTTTTTTTTTTTTGCCACTGTTGCAAAAATTTTTCTTCTCAAACAGGGTACAGATGATGTATTAAGACCAATACAATTTGATCGTATCTTAGTTGACGTTCCATGCAGGTAATTTATCGAGGTGTGGTTGAGGGCAGTTTGGTAATTTTTAATTATATCGTCTATTTTTTATTCAGTGGTGATGGAACTTTAAGAAAGAATTATTTGGTTTGGAAAGATTGGAATATTGGAAGAGCCATTGGCATTCATTAGTAAAGTATTTATTTAGATTTTGTATTAACGTTTGACATGCCATTTTTCTAACCTTATCATTTTGCCTTGTAAAGTACTCAAGTGAAAATATTACTTCGAGGTGCTCAACTTGTTAAAGATAATGGTCGCATTGTGTATTCTACATGCTCAATGAATCCTCTAGAAAATGAAGCAGTGGTAGCTGAAGTTTTGAGAAGATGTAGAGGTAAACTTACTATCCTTAAGATAGAACAAAAAAGTTGATTGATTTTAACTTATTTTATTCCGCTTCTTTATCATGCTCTAGGAAATTTGCAACTCGTAGATGTTTCTGATCAATTGCCACAGTTGATTAGAGCACCAGGATTAACAACGTGGAAGGTATGAAATTGTGAAGGTTATAATATTATATATCAAGTATATCTTTAACTGATCTCCTTGTTAATTTCAATAACAGGTAATGAGCAAGGAAAATGTGTGGGTCGACAGCCTAGAGGATATTAATCCGAAATATAGAAAGAAATATGAGAGATCGCTCTGGCCACCTTCAAATGCAAATGACCTGAATTTAGAAAAATGGTAGGTTTGCCTCTGATAAATTATTTTGGGCCTGACTGTTTTCCTAAAAGCTCTAACTTTTATTATCGAGAAAATAGCATGCGGATATATCCTCATTTTCAAGACACTGGTGGTTTTTTCATTGCCGTACTACAAAAGACTGGCCCAATAACCGACATTAGCTCTGTCAATGATCTACAATCCTTTAGTAAGGAGGATCACAATAATGACGAAGAAACAGTTGATGCGTCAAGTGAACTTGATACTGAAATCATTAACGACGATGCTATTGTCGATGATGACTCAAGTGAGAATTTTGAAGATAGAGAAAGCGATGTCATAGAGTCCGCTCATAAAAAAAGGTCAAATTCCGGTTCTTCTGAAGACGAGTTGCGCAAACGTACAAAGACTGAAGAACTCAATGATATAAAAGATGATCGGTCACCTTCACAAAGACGGGGGGGCGAAGAGCCATTTCTCTTCTTGGAGCCTGATAATCAGGATATACCTATAATCAGGTTTCATATTATTTTGTTTTCTTTAATTTTCCTCCTTCTTTGTTCATTAATCTTTCATGCTATCCAATAGAGAATACTATGGACTGTCTGAAGAATTTCCAATCGGCCAATTGCTTGTTCGATCAACAAACGAGAAGAATAAGACAATATATCTGGTATCTGAAGCTGTCAAGCGTGTATTGGAAGCATCCGATAGCAAAAGATTGAAGGTATCTTTGGGATTTCTTTTGGAGTAATATTGACGCTTTCACGCCTCAAGATGTCGTCACCAAAGAACTTTATTAACTTAATAGATAATAAATACTGGCATAAGAGCATTCACGCGACAAGAAGCTAACGAAGCGATAAAATGTGATTTTCGATTTAATGCTGAGGGATTGTCGACCATTCATCCCTTTATATCCGACAAGAGGGTTGTTGAGTTTGAATTGGAGGATCTCCGAATATTGTTATCAGAACCCACGCCACTCATAGAACGATTTTGTGAAAGAATCAAAGAAAAGTTGAAAAACTTGGGTAAATTTAGTTTGGAATGTTTACAGATGTGTGCTTTGGAAATTCTAATAACACTAAATTTTGAAATTATAGATATCGGATGTATCGTGGCATTTATAAAATCAGATAAAGAACATGATGCAATGTAAGTTGCGTACAAGTTTTTTGTTATTTGAATTTTATTATTATTTACATACGTATGATTGAATTCACAGCGCATTACCCGTTTGGCGAGCTACGGCATCTTTAAATCTATTATATCGAAAGGAGGAAAGAAAGTAAGCGTCATACGCCTCGATGATATGTTGTGTAATATTTTAACATTCGAATAACATTTCTGATCTTGTAAATAAATTTTAGGTCTTTGGAACATAGAATTCTTAATTACATTCTGAAACTAGAGGAAAAACAAGACGAAAAATAAATTTTGTTCATAATATTTGTTATTGCCTCCTGAGAATTAATAGCTTTACAAATAAATTTAAATCTTGTAATTCTAATTTTATTTTCATTATAAAGACTATTAAATATATTTCAATTAAATTAAATCTTTTCGAATCACATTGTTCTATTATTTTTTACATTTTTAAAAGCCTTTGTTCAAATAGATTTATTTTTAAATGTTTAGTTTAATTTTACATAAAATATATATACCGTATATACACTGTATATATAAAATACAGTATGGATAATAATTCCTATAATATCAACATAACTTGTTATCATATACATGTATATAGCCCATAGTCATCTTAAAGATTAGATTTCAAATTTAGAAAATTTTCTTTATAAAGTTTTATCTGTTAAATATAGGTATTACTTCTTGTTAAGAAATACATACATGAATTAGATAAAATAGTATAATAGTATGCTAGGCAAAACCCAGCTAGTTAATCAAAATAAAATAAATAAATAAAAATTTTAATAAAAAATTAATAAAAAAGATTAATAAATTTAAAATTTTATAATTACAATAATTAAATAAATATGTATTATAAAGTAAATTAATAAATAGATTTTTTAAAAGAAATAAAATTAACATTAATAAAAATTAATAAAAAAAAATTAATAAAAATTTTTTAATAAATAAATAGTATTTTTTATTTGATATGTATAATAAAAAATATATATTATAAAAAGAAACAACATCTCTTATATATATATATAATAAGTTACAATAAATACTAGCTTATCAGATTGATCATTTTAAAATTTAATAATTATAAATAATCATATACAATATATAGTTTTTTTTTAATAAATAAAAGATTATTTAAAAATTATTATAATTAATTAGAAGTTGTTATTATATATTAAACCTTTTATTTTATTAATAAAACAATATTTATATACTAAGTAAACTTGTTTTTTATAATAAATTTTTAATATTTACTTGATTTTCATAATTATTATTTTAATAAATAATTTGTTTTCAATAAATTTTATTCAATATATATTAATGTATTTAAATATTAAGTTTTATAAAATTATACTTGATATTTAAATTTTTATTTAAGAAAATATAAAAAATTTTATTTTAATAAAATCATAAAATTTAATATTAAATATTTATTTATTTATTTTTTTTTTAATCCCGCAATCAAGTTGGTGTTATTTATTTATTTAATCATAAAGAACCATTACAAGTTGAGAATCCATGTAAAGTATAAATTTTCCTGACCTAACTCACCCATCTTTAGCCGAAGCCTCTAAATGCAATTTATGGGGGTGATAATATTGTTCACCTAATGAATAGAATTAAGATTCCAGATTTCCAGCAGGATTAAAACCTGCAGATCACCTTTGCAGTCATGACCATAAACCCAAATTGTGTCACCTCCCTCTTGTAGAAACTACGCAAGGAGAAAAAGGAATAAAAAAGGAATTTTTTAAACAAAAGAAAAAAAAAGCTATCGTCTATTCTAACTATCATTAAAGAGGTTATCTTTGTAAACTTCAAAAACCCAAGCCTCTCATAATACCTCACTTCTTACCACCTGTGACCAGTCAAACTGTTTAATTTCCATTGGAGTAGTCGATGTCCAAGAATATTTAAGGGCACTTCCAGAAGAGTATTTCTTGAGACTTTACACTTGAAGACTTCTGACCAGAAAGAATGTTGGTTTTCTATTGTTGATTTCTTTCCCAAGTCATGTCTTCTGGAATTATTGTTTCATTCAACTGGTGGATAATTTCAAAATCCCTTTCTCCAACCATTTTCGAAATAAATATCGATACTTCAACTTGTTATCAGATTGGGATAGGACCTAGACCTTGTTACTACTTCCTGTTCTCAAAAAAGAATAGGGAAGAAAAAAGAAAATAAAAGAATGGGAACAAATGGAGTCGCTTCTCTTCTTCTCACAACTTCAATTAACGATCGTCCAACTCTTTCAGGAACCAATTACTTCATCGGTATGGTGTTACGTAACTGGAAACACATGAGGAGTATGTGTCTTGTTTACTTTTTCTGTGGCTGACGTGATCAACCAATCCATGACCTTGACCAATCATCTTTCAGGAAATCTGGTGTGATCAAAAAATTCAGGGTCAAACTGAGGTAGGCAAAATTCCCCAAAAAAATCAAAAAAAAGGAAGCACACTTGAGAAAAAAGAAGAGGGAAGCCAAAGAGATGATGAAAAGACTGGAGACTTCTTTGTTCTTATTTTTCTGGATTCTTGAATCTTTTGGGAGTCTTTGGAGAATGTTTTTTCTTGTCAGTTTTTTTCCTAGAGAGGTGATCTTGCTGTAGATCTTTTAGATAGGTTTCTTGTATTTAGTCGCCAAAATAAACAAAAAAAGTATTTTGAAAAGAAAAAATAAAACAAGTGGTAGCTTCTGCTTGCTCTGCTGGTTAAGGAACCAGTGTTATTAAGGAAAGTATATAGACTTTATTATCATAAAAAACAAAAAGTTTTTTGAGAACGTCTGTTTTTTGGATTGGCAAAAGGATTAGCGGAAAGAATCATACTTATCCATAGTTTGTTTTAGTCCTGATAGTCTATTTTCCCTTAATTATTTTTAGTAATAGCAATAATATAAATAGTCATACAATTGTAAAGTGAACAGTAGTATATAGAGAGTTGGGACAGATCAAGTTAGTTCAAGAGATAGTTAAGATAGAAATAAAACAATAGTGCAATTAATAAACATAGCGATTAGTAAAATTGAAGTGCCAGATAAGAAATATTGTAATTAACAACTTATTTTTTTAAGTACGCACCATCTAGGAAAGAATAATCGCCGCTATAGAACATAGCCTGGAATTATCAAGAGAAGAGCTAGTGTCAAGAAAAAAAAGAGAAGCTTGTTAATAACAAAAGCCCTAGCTAAATCAATCTTACACACCTCAACATACCTTTAATAATTTTATCTTTGGATCAGTAAAGCAACTAACTCACTATTTTCCAGTCCAACAATATATAATTTAATTGTTAATATTTAAATAAATATTATTTTCTAATTCAATATTATTTTCAGCATTTAATACTTGCAAGATTTTTTGTACAATAAGATTAATTATGTGGGCAAGATATCAGACATGTTGATTAATTGTATTAAATTTAATGTTGTTTTTGATAAATGTATTCTCAAAAGCTCTAAGAAAAGTTATATTGTTACTTGCATTATCGATTGTTATACCTAAAATCTGTAATATATAATTTTTAATTTAATATATTTTTTATGATGTTTTTATATTTAATATTAAATATAACTTACTTTTTTTGCAAGACCAAATTCATTTAAACTTTGTAAAAAAGCTGTTTTGAGATTTTCATCAGAATATGGGTTCTCAAGTTTAATAAAATCTAAAAGTAAATTTTTCAATTTCCAATCACTTGAAATCCAATATACTGTAATTTCTAAAAAATAAAAGTGCATTTGTCAATGTCCAAGCATCTAAAGTAAATAAAATTCTATCAGGTGTTTTCTATAAAAATTATATAAAATAAATATAGAATTATTTAGGTAAAATTTATATATTACATACAATTACCTGCAAAAATTGCTGCATTCTTTTTTTATTTTTATCATAAACACATATAATAGTATTTTTAATAGTATTGGCAAAAGATATTGTAATTCCATTTCATAAAATGTTTAATATATTATGAAAATATTGAGACTTAACACTTGTAAAAGGTAAATCATTAATAACAATTCACTTTACAAGTAAATACAAAAAAGTTGCTATTATTATATATCTAAATAATTTTAATTAGCAATTTTTATTTATTAAAAATATAAAATAAAATTAACTTATCAAAATTGGAATATTTTCTATTGCTTCATATAAGTTAATTATTTTTCAGTAGTTTTATTAGATACCTATTTTTAATATATTTTAATATGCCAGTAGTGCTACTTTTATTTGCACTAACATGTATTTTGCAATAATTGCACTGAGGTTTTTTTAAATTTTTATCAAAAGTAAAGTGTTCCCATATCCAGCTCTGATGTTTCTTGCTACTTGTACTTAATGATATACTAGCAATTTCACTGTCAGTAATTTTTATTTTATCATATATTTTTGGCTATTGTTCATATTAATAGTCATCAAAAAATATGTTTGATCCATTTTTTCATAATTCATGGATTCATTCAAATTTTCTATTATTTTCAATATGAATTAATATTATCAAGAAACAACATATGAAAAGAAATAATATACTTTGATTTTATAACATTTTATTGTTGAAATGGCTTTTAAATAGCTTTTGAAATGGCTTATTAAATATTTTTAGTATTTTTAGTTATTTAAATAATAAATTTTACTTTTTTTTTTGTTTAATTTCACAATCAGGTTGGTATCATTTATTTATTAAATCTTAGAGAACCATTACACGTATAAGAATACATACAAAGTATAAATTTCCTTGATCTAACTCACTTGTCAACAGCTGAAGCCTCTAGATGCAATTTATAGGGTGATATATTGTTTTCCTAAAGGATGAAATTAAGATCCCGAACTTCTGATAGGATCAAAACCTGCAAATTATATCTATAGTCATAACTATAAATCCAAATTGTGTCATCCTCTCTTATAGAAACTATACAAGAAGAAAAAGAAATAAAAAAAGAAATTTTTTTAACAAAAAGAAAAAAAAAAAGCTATCATTTATTCTAACTATCATTGAAAAAGTTATCTCAGGGAACTTAAAACCCAAGCCCCTTATGATTTCTCACTTCTCATCACTTGTGGCCAATCAAACTGTTTAATTTCCAATAAAGTAGTCAATGTTCAAAAACGTTTAAGGCACTTCCAGAAAAGTATTTCTTGAAACTTTATGCTTGAAGACTTCTAATCAGAAAATATGTTAGTTTTCTATTGTTGATTTCTCTCCCAAGTCATATTTTCTAGAATTATAGCTTCACTCAACTAGTGAATAGTTTCAAGATCTCTTTCTCCAACCATTTTCAGA